CTTCCAGCCAAATCTTTGTCCACAAACCTCACATTCAAATGGTTTCTGTCTCGTGTGGACCTTAATGTGTGAGTATAAACCTGACTTCCAGCTAAATCTTTGCTTACAAAACTCACATTCAAATGGTTTCTGTCCAGTGTGGACAGTCATGTGTGAGTCTAAACCTGACTTCCAGCTATATCTTTGTCTACAAACCTCACATTCAAATGGTTTCTCTCCAGTGTGAATTCTCATGTGTTGGTTTAAACCAGTCTTGCAGCTAAATCTTTGTCCACAATTCTCACATTGAAAGGGTTTCTCTCCAGTGTGAACTCTCATGTGTGTTTCAAAATGAGACTTTTTGTTAAATCTTTTACCACATGCATCACAACCAAATGTTTTTGGTTCTGTCTGGACTTTCCTGTGTGACTCTACATTTTTCTTCTCTCTGACACTTTTCTTCTGACCCAAACAGCTTGAACGTTTTACTGTTGAATGACATGTCATGTGTCTCTGAAGAGACGATTTGTGCAGAAATTGTTTACCACACTCAGAGCAGCTGAAACATTTGTTGACAGAGTTTACAGCTGACTCAGGAGCTCTGCTCTCCTTCCAGTCTTTGTCACTGTCTTCAGTTGTTGACTCAGAGTCTGACAACTGTTCCAGCTGAGAGTCAGGATTGTTCCCATCCTCGTCCTCTTCATCATCCTCACTGACTTCAGTCTCTGAAGAGCTGGAAGCATCTGCATGAAGATTTAGATCTGGGTTCATGTTGGTTTCTGCTCCTCCCCAGTCCTCTCCATCAGCTTCTACCTTCATCTGGTCAGCTGAGCTGCTGGTTGGAACAGCTCTGTCCTCCATTTGGTGCTTATGAAGCTGTGAGAACTGAGGCTTCTCTTCATCATCCTCACTCTTTACATGAACAGCAATGAATGAAACCCTGCAAGCCTCAGTTTCCTCCTTCACATTGAGCTGCTCTCCCTCTAATTTGGTCCAGAGTTCCTCCTCTTCCTCCTTTGTTTGGAAGGGCTCTGGGTCCTGCTGTGAGAACAGAGGCTTCTCTTCATCATCCTCAGTCTTCACAGGAAATGCAGTGATTGAAAACTTGCTGGCATCAGTCTCCTCCTTCACAATGAACTGCTCTCCCTTTGTTCTGGTCCACAGTTCCTCCTCTTCTTCCTTTATGTGGAGGTGCTCTGGGTCCTGCTGGTCCACATCAGGCCTCCATTCCTCAGGAGCATCTACTCTGATCAGCAGAGTCTGCTGAACATCTGCAGGAAACAGTGAAACACAGACAATATGGACTGAATATAACTTTATGATCACTCATACATCACTTGTGTTGTTGCTTTACGTTATATGGACCAGAACTGTTCCAAGGGTTTAGTCTTTATAAACGTGACTTGTAGAATATCTTACAGATATTGATTAATTAATATAGATCTTGTTTCTGTTCCGTGCCCTGAGATGACTTCTGTTGTGACTTGACACTATATAAATAAACTGAATTGAATTGAATTGTAAAAGTGTCACAATTCTGAGGCTGTATGCTTTATAGCAGGGCTTCTCAAACTTTTTGGGTTCAGGGATCGATTAAAGGGGAGAAAAAGTTCCAGGGGCTCCCTCATAACTCTCCAGGTTATTAAATATAATTTTCTGAGACCAGCTGATCCTTCGAATTAGGAGGTATGTAGGGTTAAAAAAAAGAGGCTCTTTAAGCGTTCACAGGATGAAAGAGTGCAAGCAGGGAAGCGGGGGGGTGGGGACGGAGCGCTGGGAAACACGTCTGTCTTCACTTGAGTACAGAGGAAAAAAAAAAGCCATTGCTTTATTGAGGAAAATGATCCAATATTACATATTTGTGAGTAGTAAAAGTATGTGAACCTCTAGGATTAGCAGTGAATTTGAAGAGGAAATTAAGTCAGGTGTTTTCAATTAATGGGATGAAGATCAGGTGTGAATGGGGAACCTTGTTTGATTTAAAGAACAGGATCTATCAAAGTCTGCTCTTCACATGTTTGTGGAAGTGGATCATGGCAGGAACAAAGGAGATTTCTGAGGAGCTCAGAAAGAGTTGTTGATGCTCATCAGGCTGGAAAAGGTTACAAAATCATCTCTAAAAAGTTTGGACTCCACCAATCCACAGTCAGACAGATTGTGTAAAAATAGAGGACGTTCAAGACCATCGTCACTCTCCCCAGGAGTGCTGGACCAACAAAAATCACTCCAAGAGCAAAGCGTGTAATAGTCAGAGAAGTCACAAAGAACCCCAGTGTAACTTCTAACTACTGAAGGCCTCTCTCACATTGACTAATTTTGATGTTCATGAGTCCACCATCAGGAGAACTCTGAACAACAATGGTGTACCTGTTAGGGTTGAAGGAGAAAGCCACTGCTCTCCAAAAAGAACATGGCTGCTCGTCTGCAGTTTGCTAAAGGTCATGTGGACAAACCAGAAGACTGTTGGAAGAATGTTTTGTGGACGGATGAGACGTCCTTACGTCATGACTTTCGTTTTAGTTTCCGTTTGAAAACGGCACTCAATGAGAGAAACTGTGTAATCTGTTAGCACATCAGCATCAGATTATTATCAATACCAGGACTTTGAACCTGCTTACAGTAAGATGGTACGGTCCAGCTCTCTGCAGGTAAGGAGCATTTAGCGTTGGATTGGTTATTTGCTGATATGCCTACTGGATTGATTGACAGGTTGCGTCATGGATCCGACTCGTGGGGGGGGGGGGGGGGGACCGACAGCTGTAAAAAAAAATTAAAAATCTCGTACAACTTTATTCTCAAAATTTTACAAATTTATTCTCATAATTCTACAACTTTATTCTTGTAATTGTATGGCTTTAAAAAAAAAAATTCTTAGCATGGCCCTAAAGCTCCGTCGTACAGTTCACACCTCCCTCAGCCATCTGGAGAAGGAAAACACCTATGTGAGGATGCTCTTCATTGACTACAGCTCAGCATTTAACACCATAATCCCCTCAAAACTGGTCTGCAAGCTCACCACATTGGGCCTGGAGAAGTCCATCTGCTGCTGGATACTGGACTTCCTCACCAACAGACCACAGGCAGTGAGAACCGGCTGTCACCTCTCCTCCACACTAGTCCTCAGCACCGGTACACCTCAGGGCTGTGTCCTCAGTCTACTCCTGTACTCACTATTTACACATGACTGTACTGCCAAGCACAGCTCTAACGTCATCCCCAAGTATGCTGATGACACCACCATCCTGGGCCTCATCACAAACAACAATGAGAGTGCCTACAGAGACGAGGTGAAATCACTGACCAGCTGGTATCAGGAAAATAACCTCTCTCTAAATGTCAGCAAAACAAAGGAAATGATAGTGGACTTCAGGAAACAATGTGGAGGTCAGCACTCCACCATCAACATAAAAAACGGTGATGTGGAGCAAGTCAGCAGCTTCAAGTTCCTCTGCGTTCACGTTACCGAGGATCTGTCCTGGACTTTACATACAAACCCTATTGTCAACAAAGCCCGAAAAAGACTCTACTTTCTAAGAAGACTAAAGAAGTTTGGTACAAACACCAGCATCCTCACCAACTTTTATAGGTAAACCATTGAGAGCCTGCTGACAGGCTGCATCACAGAATGGTTCGGGAACTGCACCAACCAGAGCCGGAAAGTTCTACATAGGGTGGTGCAAACAGCAGAGGACATCACTGGGAGCAATCTCCACACCATCCAGGACATGTACCACAACTGATGTCTGCATAAAACACGCAGCATCATTAAGGACCACACCCATCCATCACAAGGACTCTTCCGTCTACTACCCTCCGGCAGACGATACAGGAGTCTGCCATCGCATACAAAAAGACTAAAGGACAGCTATTATCCACAAGATGTCAGATTACTGAACTCTCAAGAACTAACACTGAACATCTGGCAATAAATAACTAATAATTAAACTTCAAAGTCACTACCTGTGCAATAACCTGTCATATATATATACAGGTCCTTCTCAAAAAATTAGCATATTGTGATAAAGGTCATTATTTTCCATAATGTAATGATAAAAATGAAACTTTCATATATTTCAGATTCATTGCACACCAACTGAAATATTTCAGGTCTTTAATTGTTTTAATACTGATGATTATGGCATACAGCT